GATCGAGCCCTGTGTAGCTCCGCTCTCAGCGGGGAGTCTGCTTCAGGATTCTTGCTCTACCCTGCCCCTCCCCCCACACCCACTCTCTCGCTCTCAAATAAATGAATCTTAAAAAAAAAAAAGAAAGAAATGCAGAATCTTGGGCCCCAGCCTGACCCTACTATATCAGGATCTGCATTTTAACAAGATCCGCAGGCTAATAAATGGCTTATTTAAAGTGGCTGAGAGGCAACTGGATCCTACTCAATTCAGGCAGCACAGGGCAGAACCGGATTAGCTGCCTGGCATGGAACAGGTACCAATTCCCATAGGAAACAGAACATTCAGACCTGGCCAGGTGACACCCTCAACAAAACTGAGAAAACATTTCTCTCACTCACCTTCCCCCATTTCTCTAGCCCCAGCCTGTCAACCAGACGTCCATCCCTTGTGTCTGCCCCCCCACACACCTGCATCTCTCAGATGTCTATACACCGCCCGTATGACCACACTCGGACTTCACTCACCAAGTCCTTGCTTCTGAAAGCATCTACCTCTAAGCCTCAGCTGTAACACTGAAAGGTCTTATTAACCACTTAAAGAATGTAAGGTACTGAAGAACAGGTGAACTAAGTGGGGGAAGGGAGGGAAGAGGGAGAAAGGCAGAAGTGGAGGGAAAGGACCTTCCTCAGCCCCCAGATGGCCAGCACCCAGCACTGACGCAGAGACCAGCACGCCATCCTGGAGCTTAGCCACAGCCCAGCTCTATCGCTTGGTAGGGCTGCAACTCTGATCATCACTAACCAGGCCCACAGCCCACTTCTCAATAGCCAGAGGAGGATCCAAGGCCCACGTGTGGTCAAAGTGATTTCGGGAGCCTGCTCGTGACCCAGTGAAGTAGCAGGCACATACCGGGCTCCGGGCGGGATGGGTGACAGGCCCTGAGGGGAATGCTGGTCACCTGATGCTTCCCCCAGCAAAGACAAGGACTTATTCCTCTCTCTCAAAGGACTCACCAGCATTCTCTCCGACTTGCCTGGGTCATTCCTCTAAGAAATAGATGCTGAGCACCCACTCTCACCCAGGTACTCTCACCTGGGCCAGGGAGCATGATGGGATAGAAAGCTAGGAGCTTCAGACTCAGACCCAAATTTGAATTCCCTACCAAGACATTGAACTTCTCAGGCTCCTCACACGTAAAACACCTACCTCCCTGGGTTACTGTCAAGACTGAACATGGACACCAGGCACGTAGGAGACATTCGATTATTCTAACCACCGCATTCCTGATGCGCACCGGGCGCTATTCCACAACAGACATGTAATCAGTGTAGTTTCAGGTAACTTCCACAACAAGCCCACTGAAGAGGGAGGAAAGTGAAGTTCAGAGAAATTAACTTTCCAAAGTTACACAGCAAGTATGTTGCGGACTCCTATCCAGAGCTACCATACTTGGGTCTGTGCCTCTCAGTCACTGCTTCCCTTGCCCTACCACCCAAGGGGCTTCTTTTCTCATTTTCCTTCATAATACATTGGGTCAACCTGGAGTGGGGTGACTGAGAGAAATAAAGTTCAGCAAAGGAAACACTTGAAAAAATGTAGCATTTCAACCATGGTCCTATGTCAGTTTTGTTTGTTTTTTTAAAGTAGGTTCCTTGCCCAGCACGGAGCCCAATATGGGGTTTGAACTCAACCCTGAGATCACCACCTGAGCGGAGATCAAAAGCCAGACACTTAACCAACTGAGCCACCCAGGCGCCCCCCCATGTCAGCTTTCTTAAACCCAGACCTCCATGCTTCATTTAATGCCACTAACTTAAGTTTCTCTGAAACAGGGTATATTTACCCCTGTGGGGAGTGAGATACTTGAAGAAAAAAATTCTAGTAAGAAACTTCGGTGTTCCATAATATACCTAGTACACAGTACAGCGCGTGTATTTAACTGATTACACGCTTACAGGTGTGTGCTCAGAAATTCCTGTGACAGTGTGCGACCCTAAGAATGGAGACCCACGCCAAGCTAGCTGCTTAATCTGAATACACCCCGGCCATCACTGACCAATGAGTGCTCAGTGTGACTGGGGGGCCGGCCGGTCACTGATGAACACCTGCACTGTCTCTGTCAGGGGGCAGTCTGTTCCAGTGCCGTGTACCTCAGGGGCCCTGTGCCCTGATTTTATACAACTCAGTGACACAAACATCAAAGTGCTCACGGTAAACAGTTAGTAACTGGTCCCAAGCTTAATACAGAGAGAAAGACGGAAGCACCGGAAAAGCCGAGAGCAGCAGATTTCTAGCTACAAATGAGACCATCACCGAGCGGATGCAGTCAACTGTGTGCTCACCTGGGAAGGAATGGAAGAGACAAAGTGATGGGATTTTGCTGAAAATATACCATCAATGATGGGGTCTCGATGACATATCGACTCTGGTTTCGGATTTCTTTAGCATTCTTGGAACACAGCCTTCCTTTTCCCAGGTTTACTTTCGGCTTGTGCACCAGTATTCATTAATACCTTAGCACAAAATGAGAGGACCGACCTCAAGTAGTGACCCGGGGCTTCCCCCAAGTTTGCCCAGAGGTGTCAGAGGAGCTCACGGTCCAAAGCCCCCCCTCGAAGACAACGGATTCAGTCAATACCACCCTTGTGTGCCACATTTTTCCCACCGCAGTGCAGTGGGGGGCGGGGGGGGGGGAGGAAGAGGAAAGAAAAGACCTATGTACTTACTCCCGAGTTCCCAGGCAATGAAATGGGTTAATGCTCAAGGGCGGCCGAACTTGTAAGAAGGTACCATGTATTATTACCACTTTAATTTTGCAGACACACATATGTATGCTCAAGAATTTCTCCAGACCTTTGGATTCTCAGGGTACAAGGATTCTCAGGTTACAACTTGTTGTCATCACTCTGAGAAATGTGACCAAACATGGAGAGGACAGGAGCTGGCTGAAGACCAATCACTTTATTTTCAGAAAGAGATGGCCAAAAGGGGCAGGGGTGGGGGAGACACAGAGGCATTCTGGCAGCACAGCAAACACAATCACGTCAGCCAGCCAAAAATCAAATCAAAAACAATGCCCACCGGCTTTCGCACCCACACAAGCCATGTTTCACTGTGTGACACACAGAAATGACCATCTTAAATCCTAGAGGTGAAAGTATATAGCACCTTGTGCTTTACCTTGGCAGGGAGGCCACACAGGCTCGGGGACATCCACTCAGTCCTCCCCCCGAACCCTCCAGCGCAGGCCCATCCGCTGCCGGTGTGGGCAGTACTGACGTCCGGGGCTCGTGGTGAGGGGGATGGACAGGCTGCAGTTCGTTGGGGTGACGATAAAGCACTCTGAAACACTCAGTCCTCCGATTCCTCCAAGCAGGAGAACAAGCCCCCGACTCCCCACACCGGCAAACAGGAGGCACAGACAACCCACAGCTGACCCGTGGAAGGTCGAACATGAATCAGGGCCTACTTCCCAGGCCAGTGACGGGTGTACCGGGACAAGACGGAAATACCAGCTAGGAAATATTGAGTCCGTTCCCTTTTCGCTTACAAGGCTCAAATGCACCTTCTGAAAACACCTAGAGAAATCCATCATTAAGGGATGGGTCTTACGATTTAAGCCTCTGGCCTCCAAGAAACAGACAAGGGACTCAGGGTGTCCTGTCTCACTGTGGGAGCTCTGGGTAAAGGATCCTTTTGGACAAAGCGCAGAGTGTCCTCACACTTAACCCCCGACCATAACCTTCCAGGGCCTGTAACAGATACACCAGCAGGGAACAGAACAGAGCTTAGAACCTGATGACCCGACTGCTCAAAAGTCAAAGGAGAGCCTCTCACTTCCAACACGGAGAAAGGACACGGACAAGGCCAAGGCAAGGGAGAGCCCCGGGAGGGGACTGGAAGGCAGACACCAGGCCTGCTTGCTCTGCACAGGCCAGAGAACGGGGCTGAGCAGCCCCGGCAGTTTTTTGAAGAATTAAATTGGTTTACCTCTCAACCTGGTTGGGGCACACAGGGGGGTGTCACATGGGTTGAAACAGAAGTATTCTTGGTCCAGTACTCCAGGGGAATGGGGCGAAAATGGACCAACGGGCAGCCGGGAGCCCCTGACAGCAGAGCAGGAGGTCGCATCTGCTGCAAACTGGACTGTTCTCAGTCTAACACAAGCGAGCTGCAGCCCTGGGGTCATCGGTAAGCAGAAACCCCTTGTCTGGGGCCCTCTTCCTCAAGTCCCCCAGTCTGTCCCATCCCCATTGGCCAGGACTCCCCAGCCCCTCCATACCACTGGCAGTGGAACCAGCAAGGCCAGCAGCCGCGGTCTTCCTCCCATGCCCAAGCAGAGCCGACGTGTCAATGGGGCAGCCGAACTGAAGACTCGTCCCGGGAAGGTGGGGGAGGACTTCGCAGCAGCAGGACCAGAAACCTCCAAGACAGGGCTCCAGCCAACGTCCCCCAGAGGAGGTTTCCCACTTGGGAGTTCATTTTTAGAACCGAGAACCACCAGGAGCCGAGTTACACACCCACATGTGCTCAGACGAGGAGGAGGGCGTCTGTGAAGACTGCTCAAAACCGCGGGCTGCAGAGCACGGGGATCAGGATCTGCAGACGTGCTGCGCCCTCCTTTCGGCCTCTTTCTTCTCCACTGACCGCCCTGGGGGTAACCCTTCACCGGCATCCCGCTCCGCTGCACCCCACCCCACCGACCAGCTCCAAGTAGGCAAACATCCTGTCCTGCTTTTCTCCGTTCCAGTAGGCTGTCCAGACACCTCCTTGACCTGGGACCCATCTTCTGTCAGGCCACTGGTTGTCCTGGAGGGGTGGGAAGAGAAAAGGAAGAAGGTCCCAAACCAAGTTCACTCAAGACAGATCAGGCTTAATGCTCACTCTATGTTCACATTCTCTACAGTAAGAAAATGCAGAGAAACCTATTTTTGTCCTGATTTTTATAAAAACCTATAATGTGATTTTTATGACCTTTTTCTAGTCTGACCTTTTTCTCCTGACCACACCCACTCTGCTTAAAGATTGTAGAGGCGGCTGGTGTTCTCACGCAGGGTGGCCAAGGTGTGGGCGAGCGGCTGATCTTTGACCCTCGCAATCTCTCGAACTGTATGCAAGGCCAGGCCTGGGTGGGCGTACTGGCAGAGGCTTTTGGGAACCTGGAAGACATCAAGCATTCAGAACATCACTGTGCCTTCTGCGCACAGCCTTGACACAGATCCCCCTCCCTGCCCTTCCCCAGCAAGGACCTCTTTGGGGCTGCCCTGTAGAGACCCCTTTACCTGCAGGTGCAGGGAGAGTCCTAGTCATGGGGGGCTCTGGGTGAGCAGGGTCCCACGCTTCCTTGGACTACCCTCTACAGGGTAGGGCTTTGCACTGCCTGGAAGAGAGTGGTTACCCTTCAGCTTCTCAGCCCCCTAGACTTTTGGTTGTGCAGAGCCACAACAAGGAGACGTCTACACAGCCAAGGGTGAGACCTGGAAGTCACTGGGGTTCTGGCCCTGCCAACCTTGCAAAGGTGACCGGCCCCCTCCCCCCCACCCCCACTTCAACTCAGCCTGATGACACCCCTACCTGTCGGGGCAGGAAGTAGGGAGCGTCCGTTTCCACGATGATTCTCTCCAGCGGGATCTGTTTCAGAGCATCCCGTGCCTCCCAGGCCGAGGAGTAAGTCAGGACGGCCGTGAAGCCCACAGACATGTTGGGGAAGTGCTTCAGCAAGGGTTCGATGACCGGGTAGCTGCCGGTGAAGCAGTGCCTGGTGGGGGGAGGGGAGGGTTTCCAGGTCAGGGCCCCTCTCACAGCGCCCTCTGCAACAGCCCCCAACTCCCCTCTCAAATTCTCTTCTGTGGGCACATTTCCAGAAACACAAAGACTACACCCAAGGGAAGGACTCCACAGGAACCAGACAAGAGCTGGTTCCAACACAGTAAGACCCAAGGTGACTCTTGGTGACTGAAGCTCAGCAGTAAACCCATCAGAGCGCCAAATCCTATACAGCCACTTCAAGTGATCCCACAGGGAACAGAGAACAATATAGGGCCAGAGTACACTTATAACACAACAGAAGCAGAATTAAAGCCTGTGGTCCCTCCAAGATCACAATTACAATAGGTAAAAATTATGTTTCTGCAGTCAAATGGACTGGAAGGAAACAAAAAAGGGAAGATATTAGGGAGTGGGACTACAGGGGAATCTTCTCTGAGTTTGGTAACTACTCATGTTCTTAGTACACAACATATTGTTAACCAATCTGAAAATTCATGGCTTCCTCCAGCCACAACACTTCATTGAGCCATCTTAGCCCAGGTTTACCTGCCCCCATGAGATTTCCTTCAAAGCCATCCCAAAACAAAGCCATGAGAAACCAACCAACCCACCCTGAAGAGCCAAGGGATTGTATCTCATCTCTGGTGTGTGCTACCCGTCAAGAGAGGTCACGCTCTCTGCTTGGGCACCTGAAAGGCAGCAGTCTGGCCTGATAGTCCACCGCCTTCTGCTGCCCATCAACACCTGATTTGGGTCCTAGACTCTGTTTTTTTCAGTTAACCCATCTCACCCATCTTGAAAAAGCCAGCCCAGGCATCACCTCCTGGCCCCTCTCCAGCAAAGCTAAGCTAATGGCCCCTCTTCTGGCTCCCACAGCACCTTATGCCCACCTCGGCCCTGGGCTCTGCACCAGATGACTCGTCTGCCTCCCACAGCTGCTCCCGGGGGCCCTGAGCCAACACCCATGACAGGCACACAGTAGGAGATCAAGAGTTTACCACACTGAACTTAAGAGCCCCTAGATACAATTAAGATTAAACACATACTGAATTTTCATGGGGGGAAAATGAAATTTCAAATTCAGAAAAGCAAAGAATTTCTTTGTGGGTGCCCTGGAATGATATCTGCGCGCTAAGTCACAACACAGTGGCCTCTCCCCAGATCAAGAGCCCTCATTTCAGAGCGCTCAGACTTCATTTTAGCCTGCCACCAGGGATGAGTGTCAGGAAAGTGCCTTTCTTGCTCACCAGTGATTTAGGATATTAGCTCAAACCATATGAAATTGCCATTTTGTAAGTAAAAAATGGTCAAAATCAGAAATTTCATATGGTTCAACCTAATACTTAATCTTTAGAGAAGATACTATATCACAAAGACTGAATACTATCATCTTCTCCTCACTGGGTTTTCCTTTTTCCAACTAACGTCCTACACAGAAGGAAGTGTTCATCTCATTTGCCCACCGGAGCTCCGGCCTTCTAACCTATGGATCTTGTAGTCTGAGGGCACAAATTTTTTCATGATGTTCAGTAGATCTTCGTCAGCTTCTCGGCAGTGGATCACCAAGGGCTTCTTCAGAGACACGGCCAACTGCAGCTGTCTCTCAAACACCTGGGAGAAGGCAAGGGGACACCTGTTAGAGCCACATCAGAAGTCTGTTACAGCCCCACAACACCCAGGCCAACAGGCACCCCCACTGTCTCCAATTCTACAGACTATATAATGTATTATAATAATAGCCCACACTTACGGGATGCTTACTACAGGTAGTGCTCAGAGCACTTCCAGTGTATTATTAACATGATCCTTACAAGTGCCCCAAGATAGGTTACTGCTGTTAGCCCACCACGCAGTCAAGAAAAAGAGGCTCCAAGAGAGGTCAAGTAATCTGCAGCTGGTAAGCTGGAGCACCACAATTCAAACATGAACCCAGGCACTCCACATGGCAACCACTATGCCATGCTTATGTGGGGTTTCAGGGCAGGGCTCAGGAACATAAAGTTCGACTTACATGTCCTTCCCCTCACTGTCCCCACCTCTACTCCTACTCCCAAGAAGTAATCACCTTCCACACATTTTCCAAAGAGTTGTGTGTGTACGTGAGCACACACACGCACACACACTCACACACACATTCGCACAATACCTGGGTCTCAGAAGGTGCTCAAATACTTGAAAGAATGGAAATTACATATTTTCTCCAACTTACTTTCTTTACTCAACCAAAATCAGATACCCTTCTAGGTGAATACCTACTGGTATACTACCTTCCATTTTTTAACTTTCTTTCTTTCTTTCTTTTTTTTTAAGATTTTATTTTTAAGTAATCTCTACACCCTACATGGGACTTGAACTCAAAACCCCAAGATCAAGAGTCACATACTCTACTGAGTCAGCCAGGCTCCCCTAACCTTTTTTTTTTTCTTAAAAAAAAAAGGCAAGTCACTACTAAAATACACATATTGTAATTTAAATGAAAAAAGGGCTAGGAAGGCGCCCGGGTGGCTCAGTCGTTGAGCGTCTGCCTTGGGCTCAGGTCATGATCCCAGGGTCCTGGGATCGAGCCCCACATCGGGCTCCCTGCTCGGCGGGAAGCCTGCTTCTCCCTCTCCCACTCCCCCTGCTTGGGTTCCTGCTCCCGCTCTCTCTCTCTCTAATAAACAAAATCTTAAAAAAATGAATAAATAAAAATAATTTTTTTTAAAAAGGGGGGACTAGGACTTCTTTCCTCTAACAAGTTCAGCTTTAGAAGAACACAGTATTAATTCATCATAAACAAATGACCTCATCTTAAACTTGTTTCCATGAGCAGTTTTCAACTGTGGAATATAATCCATGTTTGCATTTTTAACATAAAATAAAATACTGCCGGTACTTCGAGCCCTGTGATATTCACTTGAGAATGGCATTTTCAAGTCTGACGCTTGTGCTACCTCTTCTCCAAAGAGTGACACTGAGCCAGTAACAATTCTGATGTCATTCTTGTTTAACCTGTGTTTTCAACAGAAAGAAAAAGACCACTGACACCAAAATCTTAGAATGCTTGGTAGAGGCTTTAAGGCTGGGCTAGTCCCAGTATCTACAGCTGGCTGGATCCCCTCCTAGCACACCTGCCCTCCGCAGACCCCTACAGAGGCAGGAGGCTGCCAGAGATTCCATTTTTTTTCTCTTTTTAAAATTTATTTATTTATTTATCTGTCAGAGAGAGAGAGAGAGAGAGAGAGAGTGCACAAGCAGGGGGAGTGGCAGGCAGAGGGAGAAGCAGGCCCCCCGCTGAGCAAGGAGCCCAACGTGCATCCTGGGAGTCTTTAGTGTTCTACAGAAATATCTTATCTTCCATCCTCTACAGGGAGTTCTGCCCTCCCGTTGCCAGCAATTTCTTTCCTCTGAATCCCCCTTTTCCAGCCCTGAGTCCTATCTCACCAAGCCAGGGGAGAGCCACAAGATTTTATTCACCACCCTCTGTGATAACTTCCAGTTCAGTCTGTGGTACGGCATGCCCTATGTGCCTCTATATGAAGATCTGATACCATAATAATTTAATCAAGGAAAAAGTTACGGTGAAATACTCAGCACATTTCCTGGCACACGGCAGGCGTTCCATAAACACCCATCTATACAGTTAAATACAAGGCCATTCCTCCTGCCAGTGGCCTCAGTGCATCCATTTCTCAACTGTCCTTCTTTCCATACCACACCTGCCTTGAGCCAGAGAAACAAGCCAGGAAAGTTGAATACTAAATATTTTTCTCATTTTCTTTTCTTTTTTTTTTTTTTTAAATATTTTATTTATTTATTCATGAGAGACAGAGAGAGAGAGAGGCAGAGGGAGAAGCAGGCTCCCAAGAAGCAGGGAGCCCGATGCGGGACTCGATCCCAGGACCCCGGGATCATGACCCGAGCCGAAGGCAGACGCTTAACCATCTGAGCCACCCAGGCGCCCCTTTCTCATTTTCTTAAAAATCTGTTCACTAGGTCTTCAAATTTAGCTATTTTTCCATTCACTTCTGACAATAAATGACCACCTCAAGCCAGAAACTCAAGCTTCCTAATATTAGTAGTGAAAGGGAACTCTGGACAGGCAAGAGGTTGTGTGAATGTGTACCTAATTCTGAACACAAACACTATTTACACTAGAAACTCATTAGATAAAGTAGAAAACTGGAAACATTCACACAAATAAAATCCCACCTACTTGTCTGAAAGTATATCAAGTCAAAATCATCCTGTTCCAAATTTAGTAACCTCAACAGGTCCTAGAGAACTCATCTTGAGATCCTTCTGGGGGCGCCTGGGTGACTCAGTCTGTTAAGCGTCTGTCTTCGGCTCAGGTCATGATCCCAGAGTTCTGGGATCAGCTGGCATCGGGCTCCCTGCTCAGCGGGGAGTCTCCTTCTCCCTATCCCTCTACACCTCCCCCGTTCATGCTCTCTCACACTCTCTCAAATAAATAAAAATATTTTTAAAAATAAAATAAATGAGATCCGAAGATTCCGAAGCATCTGAACACCTGAAATTGTTTCTTATGTAAATCAACTGTTAAGCCTTGCGTGCCTAGTGGGGCGCCTGGGTGGCTCAGTCGTTAAGCGTCTGCCTTCGGCTCAGGTCATGGTCCCAGGGTCCTGGGATCGAGCCCCGCATCGGGCTCCCCTCTCAGCAGGAAGCCTGCTTCTCCCTCTCCCACTGCCCTGCTTGTGTTCCCTCTGTCGCTGTGTCTCTCTCTGTCAAGTAAATAAGTAAAATCTGTAAAAAAAAAAAAAAAAAAAGCCTTGCGTGCCTATCGGTTGCCATGGACAACTGTATGCAAATTGGAATCTCCATCTCCTAAAGGTGTATAAAGATCTAGAGTCTTCTGCTTTGTCAGAAGAGTATCACACATTCTCTGAATTTTCTCTTTGGTCAGGGAAAATTAAGAAATTTTTGCCTCTAGAAGATTCGCCTCTCTTAATTCACAATTAACCACAGATGCCAGGAGCAGTGGGGCCCAGCAACAGTGTACAGCAGACGTTGACCCAGCTGGGCTGGGGACAGCGCCAAAGGGAAAGCCAGCTTGCCAAATTCTGTCTGCCCAGGCGGGCATCCACACACCAGCACACCAAGGCCTGGAGCATACTGGGCACACAGACCCAGCACACCAGGCATCGGCAGAAAACTGCACGCGACAAATTCTAGAACAAAAGCAACCTGGCAGTGTGAGCAGTGACAGGGTGGGAGGGTCGTTCTCCTCGTCCTGCTCCTTCCCAAATCAGAAACTTCCACTGAAATGCTGGAACCACCCTTCCCCTGTCAAATGTCCATGCTCAAAAAATAGTAGTTGCCATCTCTGGTGGGATGGGACATTCTCTTCATTACAGTTTTATATTTTCCAAATATTCTATGGGCACACTTAACTTTAAAACCAGAATAAAAAATACAGTTTAATTAAACAAACGTACAACTGGTTGTTTCCCAAGAAGGAAGGAAAACAGATGTCTTGCCATCTGTATCATTAGCCATAAGATGTCACAGACGAGTAACTATCCCCCTCTCCTACATAATAAAGAAATAGTTGGTGAAGCATTTGACAAGTGACATCTCAATGGTCTGGACAAGAGCAATTATACTTTTAAGGGTTCTAAATTCTCTAGATCTGAAAGTAGAGAAACCTTTATTGTTAGGTTCAACAACTGAGAGAGGAATTGAAACCGTGAGCCAACTAAGGAGAGCCGCATTACCTTGTGCTGTTCCGGGACAGGCGTGGTGCACTTGTACGAGTAATCCAAGCCCATTTCCCCAAATGCCACAGCCTTGGGGTGCCTTAATGCTTGCAAAAGATTTCTCTCTTGACTCTCACTGTAGTAACGTGCAAAATGAGGATGACAGCCAAAGGCTCCCCAAACCAGATCCTCTTTCAACAGCTCCTCCCACAGGCAATCTGTCAGTGTCCGAGGATCACAGAAGTCAGAGATGCAGCCCTGAAACTCCTTAGGGAAGGAGCTGCTATAAATTTTTCTGAACTTGGTAAAGGAACCTTTGAAAGACAACTTGGAATACAGCATGTCCAAGTGACAGTGGGTATCAATGAAACCCTCCTCTAGGCCTGACTCCCGATGGTCCCTTGGCAGGGAGCTAGATGCGTGCCCTCCGCAGGGACGGGGCAGCGCCTCCTCCTGGAGTGCTCTTTTTTCCTTCACCTCTTCTTCTTCTGAGCTTCTGGAGAAACGAAATAAACGAGCGTTCTGGGATCTGCCTTCCTCGGTCACCTCCTGGTCTCTGGAAGTGTTCTGGGAGCTCACTGTAGAGTTAGGGGAATAATCACTCAGGAGGCCCCGGCTGCCCCTCCCTGCCTGCAGCGGGTCACTGCCACTGCCGCCGCCGCTGCCGCCGCCGCCGCCCACAGCCGGATAACCAGGAGGCTTGGGGCTGCTCGTCCAATAGCTGGCGTAGTCACACCATGGGCTACTGTACAAATGAGGCGGGTACATGACATAGTCAGTGGGGAAGGCAGAAGGCTCCAGAACTGTGGAGAGTTTCAGCGAGCTGGGCTCCTCCTGAGAGAATCTGACTGTGGAGACCTCATCCACGTCAGACCAGTCACTTCCTGAAGAGGTGTGCTCTATCACCACCTCCCTTTCTTTAGGCTGCAGAAAAGAAAACAAATGATGGGTGAGCCCTCCTGTGTGAAGACAGCCTCTCATGCTCAACTCATCAGAAGAACATAAACTCCGCCTTGCTTTCCTGGCCATGGTGAAGGCTTTGCCTTGGCTCATTAGCTTACTTTGTTGCCTGGCTTCCTAATTTCTAGAATGTGAGCCAGATTACAGCTATAAGCAGTCGTATGAGGTTCAGGGAATAAACTTGTGACCAAAGTCTTAGAATACCATCCTTAGGGGAGCCTGGGGGTGGCTCAGTCAGTTGAGCGGCCAACTCTTGATTTCGGCAGGTCATGACCTCAGGGTCGTGGGATCGAGCCCTATGTCATGCTCCGGGCTCAGTGGGGAGTCTGCCTGAGATTCTCTCTCCCTCTGCCTCTGCCCCTCCCTGCCACGCACATGCACTCTTCTCACTCTTTCTAAAGTAAATAAATCTTGGGCGGGGGTGGGGGGGAGGAAAAGAGTATCATCCTTACAGGGGATGTCCTACCTGTACTCCCTTTCTGAATGATCCCTTTGGAGAAAAACTGCTCTCTCTAGAATACACTGTGTACTGGGAATTTTAGAGAAAAGCAGCACCCAACATACCTCAACTCTACCATGTCTCTAACATTTCAAATGCAAAACCACATAGTCATGGTGGGTTTAAAATGTGTCTGCAAATTCGCTTTACATTACTCCCCATTGAGAGGTGGGGTTGTGAGCCCTCCCCTCCCCTTGAACCTGGGCCAATCTAGTGACTTGCGTGTAGCCAGCAGAACACAGCAGCAGTCCGAACAGCCTTGTGGCTTCCCCCTGGTTCTGTCAGCTTGTTCCTCACAGGGAAGCCAACCACCAGGGAAGAGGCCAGACCACCCTGACGCCCATCATATTCTCGAGAGGTCACCTGTAGGTGCCAGCCTCAACTGCCGGCCACATGAGTGAGCATCTTGCCCTTCCTGCCAGGCTACTGGAGTGTCAGAAGCATGAGAGTACACCACCCCAACCCCCAAGCAAGACCTGCCCTGTCTAGACCTTTCTGAATTCCTCACTCACAAAATTGAGAGCAAAATAAAACATTTAGGGGTGCCTGGGTGGCTCAGTTGGTTCAGCGACTGCCTTCGGCTCAGGTCATGATCCTGGAGTCCCGGGATCGAGTCCCACATCGGGCTCCCTGCTCAGCAGGGAGTCTGCTTCTCCCTCTGACCCTCTTTCCTCACGTGCTCTCTATCTCTCATTCTCTCTCTCTCAAATAAATAAAAAAAATCTTAAAAAATAAAAAAAATTAAAAAATAAAAAAAAAATAAAACATTTAGTTTAAGCCACTGCCTGGCAATAGTAAATGGATCGACCAGCTATACATTACATTAAATCAATTTAGCCCTGCTAGAACAGAAGTTTTCAAGGTCAGGAATTTTTATTTTCTTCACTCGTGTCTCCCAGACACCTACAACAGTGCCTAGCATACTGTGCTTATAAATGATGATTTAATTTGTAGAATAAATGGGGCAATGGCTCCTGAATTTAGCTTCACATCAGAACTGAGGGCTTTTTAAAGCTACCCCACCCTCATCTGTGATATTGTGATTCAACAGGTCCCCAAGGACTCTGTATTTAAGTCCCCATGTCACTTGGATGCAAATCAGGTTTGAGAAATACAGTAAAAACAGGGATCTCAACTCATGCAAAGACTGTCTAAGGGCCCTGGTTTCTTTTGGTTAATGAAACCATCTATACCCACAGGGACCAGATGGCTTGAGCAACAGGCCTTACAAAGCTCTTTTCCTAAAAATATTTGTATAAGCAAATACAATTCATATAATGAAAAATTCACTTAAAAAAAAAAAGCAATATGGCTAAGTGGTTACACATAAGGAGACACTGGAAAAATACTTGAGAAACTTATAAAGTGGTATCCAGGTGGAGGAACAGGGTAAGAAAGGACCAGGCTAGAAAGCTACTTTTCACTAAATAGCTTTTATTTTTTATTTTCGAACCACGAGAATATTATTTACTCAAAAAGTAACCTGAAAAATAACTGGAAGTTGCTACATGGTAGCAATCCCAAAATACACTTCCAGAAAAAAATGAACCACAAAGTGCCTGAGTGTGACAGGAACAGCTATTGGCAACTGGGCATAAATTTCCAGGGACAGAATTATACATGGATTCAAAAAGTGCTATATCTCATCAGCACAATCTTGGCTGCAGAAAACTACAAGACAAATGTCCTATTTTTACAACGGAAAAATTACACCACAATGGGAGGGGATGAGAATCTACAGGGACGAAGAGACTTGAGATATTTAGAAATTGCCACAAACGGCTCTTATTTGGATAACTGTTTTAAACAAATTAAAAATATCATGAAACAAACAGGATTAATCAATGACTGGACCATTGATGTTAAGGATTCTGTGTGTGTGTGTGTGTGTGTGTGTGTGTG